GTATTAAATTACACGATAAAATTTGAAATTAAAAATTACCCATTTTAAAATTAAATTTAATCTCTATTAAGTTTAAAATTATAAAATTACTGAGGAAAAAAGAAATAAATACATGTTATTCTATATATTGTGTTTTTATTGAAATTAAGTTGGAATAAACGTTAATATCAACTGTTGTTGTGAGCTTCATGACGACATAGATACATTTGAATTCTAAATATAGGCAGGGGAGGATGACATCTTGCAAAAGACAATACATACACAATCAGATTATAATACATAAGCACGCAGACATATTTATATATGTACACACACAAAAAAAGTGACGAGACAGGAAATATTTGCACGACCTTTACAAAAAAAACAAATAACATACATACACAATGAAAGGTACATCCAAGTTACCATACACACAGACACCGATAAAGACACGTACATACACACAGACACCGATAAAGACACGTACATACACCCACATAAACCACTTTATTCTACATTTAACATCATCACTTGATAAAACACCAGAGGTGTTGAAACAAAATGGCTATTTTTGCTGTGAATTTATAACATATTTATGTTATAATTTTCCAGTAAATAATTATATTCGCTCTACTCTGTGTTGAGCACTCTTTTAAGAATAGTAATTGTTGGTTATTGGAATTTATTCCGTATACACCAATCATATATATATATATATATATATATATATATATATTCAAACAGGTTTGGTTAAATAATTTAGACATACTATGTCTGTTATTTAATTAAATTATTTAACCAATCCTGTTTGAATGAAAATTTGCTGCCTAGATACACAAATATATGCATACACACACACACACACACATATATATATATATATATATATATATATATATATATATATATATATATATATATATATATATATATATATATATAAGCAGCAACAATTCATTTAAACAAATTTTGCGAAATTTGTTCGACAATTATCAGTTTAATTTTTCTTGTATTTTTTCATTTTCGAATAAACAGTTGCACGCCCGTATCAAAATTGTTGATACACTGACATAATTCATGTTTTTGGTGGAATATCTTCGACTGTCTCAGTCATTATCAATAATTGTGTGTTTTCAGTATGGTAGACAAGATTTTGTTGGCTACATCCTGGTATTTTTGAGAGTGAATTGGGAACGCTGAAATTCAAATCGAAATATGCATATATTTTATAACTGACTGTTTCACAAATCTTGACTTCATTGGAAAAGTAGGAATCAAATATTTCATATATTATATATTTTTATTATTAAAAAATCTTTTTGACCTACATTTGTTTTATAACCCCATGCCAGGTCATAATCTTTGACCTAGGGAAAACGAAAGATGTGATTTTTTTTATTTTTTTTTTTTTTTTTGTTATTGCCTCTTAATTAATCAAAAGAAAGCTATTAATAAAAAGAATTTAAATCGACATGTTGTTGTGCTTGTTAAAACTATTTTGGGGATTTCCTGGACAGATGATGCACCAGAGATTTGTTTTATTTATTCTTTAGTTCCTTTCTTTATTATACTCAAAAGCTCCAACCATATTCATTTTGCAAATTTTGCAGTTATCAATACATATTTTTACCAGAGCTCATATTGCAATCTTTGTTGTTATTATCGCTTTTCTCCTTATTAGTGGTTCCCATAATGTATTCATTTCTATGCTTGGTCGGCTCAGGAGATCTTTATGGCATAGCATATGTGCTGATTCCTTAAGTTTACGAATTTTCCAATGATGTTCTTTGTCTATGATCTCAACCTGATCCCACAGAGGACGGTGATCTCCCTTTTCTCTCCATATGTGGTCAGCCACGCCTGATTTTTCCACTTCCCCTCGTGTTACAGCTTTCTGGCGTACTTACCTTAAGGGAGCGGCCTGTATCCCCTTTATATTTCTTTCCGCAGGTGCACAGAATAGTGTACACACAGTCTTTAGTCATATTCTCCTCTGTGGGGGGGTCGTACTCGGGAGAGATATCTGCGAAGTGTCGTCAAGCTTTTGAAGGTTGTCCTGATGTTATATGGGCCGCAGATCCTTTGTATTTTCTCTGATAACCCCTTCACATAAGGCAAGCAGACTGTTTTTTTAGTGTTGTTGTCCTCCTCTTGTACCCGCCTATCCCAGTTTTTGGGGGCTGCTGCCATGTACCAAGGGTAGTTGTTACGTTGTAGGGTACTACTTATACTGACCAATTCTTTATCTAATGTCTCTGGGTCGCCACTTATGACTCGGTGTTGTAAGCAGCGGACGATCCCTTTCTTTACGCTGTACGGATGGTGGGAGTTGAAATTGAGGTACTGTCCGGTGAATGTCAACTTACGGTATACGGATGTCTTGAACCCATGCTCTGTTCGAGATATTAGAATGGGAATGTGTTGTTACTCGCTTTCTCCATCGTGAAATGTATCGAAGGTCTTATTGAGTTCAAGTCCCAACAAGAGTGGCAGGACCCAAAGAGTGTGAGTTCAACACCTGGTTAAGGCGGTGGAGAACTTTCAGAGGGAAATTAACAGGAGATAACTGACAACTGACATCCATTAGACATGTCACGTGGAACTAGAACCCCAGTAAGCGAAATAAAAGGTTCAGTTCGACATTCCAACCATCTGAGGATGGCCGGAGCGTACAACGGCGGAAACGTTGTAAGAAATATGGCGACAAAGATAGGGACAATAGACCCGAATAATGTAAATAGTGTACATAATACCTCATCTCAGAAATATAGCCAGATACTGAAGGGCCGAAACGTTGTAATAAATATGGTGACAAAGATGAGGACAATAGTCTGAATAATGTAAATAGTGTACATAATACCTCATCTCAGAAATATAGACAGATACTGAAAGGCCTAAACGTTATAATAAATATGGTGACAAAGATGAGGACAATAGTCCGAATAATGTAAATAGTGTACATAATACCTCATTTCAGAAATATAGCCAGATACTGAAGGGCCGAAACGTTGCAATAAATATGGTGACAAAGATGAGGACAATAGTCCGAATAATGTAAATAGTGTACATAATACCTCATCTCAGAAATATAGATAGATAGTTAAGCCAGAAGTTTGGAATTTTGTCAATTCCCGGTGATTTCAATTTGTGAAACTTGGTTAATGCTGGTTTTAATTTTGCCATTGCTGTTTTGGGATGTTTACCCTTTTTTTTTCTCCAGATCTTTTAACCATTTATCATTCTCATCGTAACATCTGTCATCTTTACGTATGTTATTCTAGGATATGCTTATTTCTCTTTTCAATCTGTTTTCTCTTTTGTTTGGCTTCTTATTTTACTGTAAAATTTCTTTGCATCTGTTTCATATGTCTTTTTTTGTCTAGAATTTTTCGCGTTTCTCGAACCTAAGGAATTGCTGCACATTAGCTTGAAATTTATCTCTCAGTTCTGCTTTCTATTGGGCATTTGTTCTTTAACCACCAACTGATATTTTCTCTTTAGATATTTTTTTTATTCTCATTGCTTTCTATACTTATTACTTTTATATTTGTTTCGATGTTTAACTTCCATTTTGGTTTACTTTTTGTTGATCTACGTTTATTCTTTAACTGTTTTATTCCACACATTGTCTAAAGACCTTTTGCAGTTGCATATAGCAATAGGTTTAGTTCAGTCAAATTAGGTTTTATTGCATTACATATTTCTCTTAAAGCGAAATTATATGTTTAAAATTATGCTTTTTTCTGATTTTTCAAAAAAAGGCTCTTTTGCAGACATGTCAATGTCGTCTACTTTCACTAGCTCTTAAGTCACTTCTTCTTTCATAGTTCCAATAGCATCTACATATTCTTCTTCGGATTCTTTGGTTTAATAATCTCACTTATATTCCCTCATTCTCAACTTCATTCGGTTCGTTTATAGTTAGGTTGTCGGAACTTACATCAGACAAAACGGTATTTTCATCTTCAACTATCAGTTTTCATCTATACTTCGCTTATTTCCTAAATATTACTCTCTTCTCTATTTTGTTTGAATTTAGGGTGGTAACACATATTAGGGTCTCAATTACAGGCAATTAGTAAACTCACAAGTAAAGCCAAAAGACTATGAAAGTATATAAATATATTTTTATATTTAAAAAAAATACCAACAATAACTATTTGTAGCAGAATTACCAACAATACTTATTTATTTCAGAATTACCAACAATACGTATTTATATCGGAATTAACAACAATACGTATTTATATAGGAATTACCAACAATAAATATTTATTGCAGAATTACCAATAATACTTAATAGAATTACCAACAATACTTATTTATATAAGAATTACCAACAATACCTGTTTATATCGGAATTACCAACAATAAGTATTTATAGAAGAATTACCAACAATAAGTATTTATAGAAGAATTACCAACAATACGTATTTATAGAAGAATTACCAACAATACGTATTTATCGCAGAATTACCAACAATACATATTTATAGAAGAATTACCAACAATACGTATTTATATCGGAATTACCAAAAATACGTATTTATAGCAGAATTACTAATAATACTTATTTATGTCAGAATTACCAACAATACGTATTTATATCGGAATTACCAACAATACCAACTTATATCGGAATTACCAACAATAAGTATTTATAAAAGAATTACCAATAATATGTATTTATATCGGAATTACCAACAATAAGTATTTATAGCAGAATTACCAATAATACTTAGTAGAATTACCAACAATACTCATTTTTCTATAGTTGAAGCCCTAAGTTTGTGTTGAACATATTTAGATTCCGGCGTTAAATAACCCGTAGAGGTGCTGATATACCGCTAAATAAAAACAACCAATCTTGTATGATGTTGCATTCCACTCTTAATTTAATTTTATCATTTCAGCGTCTGTGAGGTACTTTAGTTTCATGATATATCATCCGACATTTACTTACTTTTGGGTATCTCAATATTTTTTCTTCTCCTTATTTCTTTCATGCCACATTTGTGTGCTTACGGCCATATCACGTTGAAACACCGGTTCCCGCACGATCTCCCGAATTTAAGCAACGTCGAGTCTGGTCAGTACCTAAATGGGTGACAGCTTAGGAATACCGGATTCTGTAAGCTTGGATGTGCTGGTGATATAATAGATAATGGCTCGGAATTGTTAATCGGAGAGCTGAATTCCAATTCCATTTGGGTTCATTATATTTACAAATACCCTTGGGAAAAGTATGTATCCACCCCACCACTAGCCAGATACGAGTTAATTAGTAAGACTTGTGTGGCTAAAACCATTATTATTTCCAAAAAATTGCGTATAAAGTATTTAAATTTTTGCATTATATAACCCATAGAGGTATTGATATGCCGCTAAACAACACTAACCAACCAACCACATTTGTTCTTTATCTTCCAATTATTATTTTCTCTTAACTTTGCGTACTTTACCAGATTTCAGTTCATTATTCTTATGAAATTCCTACAAAATAGATATTTGTGCTCACATTACTTTTATATTTGTCTCAATGTTTAACTTCCATTTTGGTTTATTATTTGATGACCTACGATTCTTCTTTTTTTGGTTAATTCCACACTTTGTCCGAAAACGTTCTGCAGCTGAATATAGTAACTGGTTTAGTGTTTGGTAATGCCTTTTTCATGTTATTTAGTGTAAAGTATTAACGATTGGTAGCGTCTGTACTTTGTTTGAAAGCTGAAGAGCAAAATCACCTTTCAAAGTACAAACTGTACAAATCGCTGGTTGTCTCCATTCTCCAATATGGATGTGAAACGTGGACACTGTTGGCAAAAACAGAGAGAAGGATCCAAGCGTTTGAGAACAAATGTATGAGAAAACTCCTTGACATTTTCTATTGGGAACATAAAACTAATGAGTTTGTACGGAAAAGGATTGAAAGCTTTGTGAGCCACAAGGAAACTCTTCTCGCCACTGTCAAACGGAGAAAAATGGCGTAGTTTGGACACATTACAAGACATGACAGCCTGTGCAAGATAATCATGAAAGGCGCCGTGGAAAATGGTCGTTGGAGAGGACGTCAACGCAAAAACTGGATGGACAATGTCAAACAATGGACAGGGATGACTGTACCAGAATTGCTGATGGCTTCCGTTGGTAGACCGTTGTGGGGTAGATTTAGTGTGGCTTCTGCATTCGCCCTCCATCCCACGATTACAAAATCCAAGGGGATGATGATGATGATGATGATGATGATGAATGATTCATCATTTCTTTACATTTTCCCTAACCCATTTACTTTTTTTTTTATTTCGTTTGACCTCTGATGATGCTAGACATGAAGGGACAGAATTAACGGTGAATTTGTTTTAGTGACATGTCTGTTTGGATTCAGTGGCTAATTTTTTTCACCTCGAAATGATTCTACCCTGAAGGTCGCACTCACTGTTGTATCACAGTACGAATATGACATCGTTTTGTGTTTTATATTCTTTTATATGTCCTCATAAGTGCCTCACTATTGATGCCCATGAACAAGAAAACCCATCTCTGGTTGAGAGGTCGAATCTATAAGGTTGTTACTGACAGATTGCGCTACTCCCTACCAGTTATTGTTTACGTTCACTTATTATTATTATTATTATTATTATTATTATTATTATTATTATTATTTTATTTTTTATTTTCTTTGATTTCTGGCGTTTACACATTTCTTTCCGGGTCCCGCACAGGGACCTAAGGTTAGAAATGGCGTCATGACACTTTCCACTGACAAAAAAAAAAAAAAAGAAAAAAAATTACATAGTTAAAGCCCTTCGTAAGGTGTGGGCTGTACTTGTCAGAACAAATTTTGTATCTCCTTGAGGCATGGACTTCCAGGAATCCCTTCAATTAGTCTACTGCAATCTTTTCCAACCAGTCCTAGGGCTCCAACTACAACAGGGATTGTTGATGTTCCCATATGCCACATTTTCGAGATTTCTATTTCAAGGTCCTTGTACTTTGACGACTTTTTGAATATCTTCAAAGATACATTGCAGTCAGCAGGGACTGCTATATCAATAAGGAGGCACCGTTTTTGTTTGTGGTCTTTAATAACAATATCTGGCCGGTTGGCCTTGATTGTTCTGTCAATGTGTATTGTGTAGTCCCATAGAATTGTAACAGGTCCTATCTCCGTAACCGGGTCTGGGTGGTGTTCATACCAGTTTCTTTCAGTTTTCTTCCCGTAGAAGTTGCAGATTTTCCAGTGCAGATATTGGCCCACTCTGTCATGTCGGATTTTATATTCAGTGGGTGCCAATACCGTACAACCTGATACAAGATGATTAATCGTTTCTGGATATTTATCACAGAATCTGCATTTTGGACTGACAAAATTATTATTATTATTATTATTATTGTTGTTGTTGTTGTTGTTGTTGTTGTTTTCTGTAGTGAAAGATATTTTATTTAATGTTCCGGGATGTTTCTTTTTTATAATAATAACTTCGAGTATTTTGAGTTTTTGAAATAATACAATATAATAATATAATGTAGTAATATAATATAATCACATAATATATTATAATAATATAATATAATAATATATGATATAACATAATAATATAATAATATAATATAATATATAATAATAAAATATAACATAATATAAAACAATAATATAAAATAATATAATTTAATGATATAATATAATTTTTTGTAATGATAACTTTGAGTATTTTTAGTTTTTGAAACAAAAACATTAGCAATAATTTCCCAACCATGTCATTAACAAGCAAATAAAATTAGCTTCGAGGAATTTTAGAAACATAGCACAAGCAATCATTCTAATATAAAGGGAAATAAAAATCTCATCAAATTATACTGCCGTATCTCGATACATCGTAACTATATACAAGATGAAAAAGCCATTAAAATGATAATTTTCTATCTCATATCATTTAGGTTTCTCAGTATAAAAAACATAAAAGCAAAAAGCTTAAAGAATGTAGCCTAATTATTAGCAGTAACTTGGGGCCGCAAAAATCATCCAATGTGACAATAATTGATATTGAAGATTACATCTGTTTTTCTTGTTCCTTAATAATAATTCTTTTTCTAATTCTTTTCACCCAGTAACTCCTTGCGTCTTAATGGCTTTACTGCCTTGCTTGGGTGAATTCGAGTTTAAAAATTGTTAACTAGTTTCCTTTTATTACGAATATCTAATCTATTATCCCTAATTATTGTGAACATTCTATTAACTAAATTGTTTATACATTGACATGAATAATTGTAGCGCATTTATATTTTAATGTAACAAATTTATGGACGTGTTTTTAAATTTCTAGTAAAAGCATTTTGAATCGTAAGGTTATTTTTGTTTGCTTTTTACTATTGGTTCAGTATAGTCGATCTCTTCTTCTATTATTTATCTTTTCATACATTTTTAACAACAATAATAAAAATGATATGTATTTGATGATAATTTTATACTTTTATTCTTTTCTTATTTTATTGATTGGTTTCTATTATTTATCATTTAAACAGAAATTATGATAATAGTAATAATAATAATAAATGGTACATATGACAACGCACTGTTTACTCCGATATCCAGTGTAAAATATGTATGCGTCTTTATGTGTTTATGTATGTATATTTCTATATGTGTATATATATATATATATATATATATATAGTGTTGGGGCCTATGTTCGCCTTTCTTTTCTCTCAGAGCAAAGGCCTGAACAAAAATAAACCCTGGTTTCTTCTAACCACCAACTCGAGAGAGAGAGAGAGAGAGAGAGAGAAAGAGAGAGAAAGAGAAGGACCACTTTAAACCCTTCTTATGTTTTCGTTGGTTTGCCTCATGCTGTGTTACTGCCAGCAGAAATAAGAGTCGTACTGGAGAGATTAAAATCCATGACAATAATACATACAATCCACGTACTTTTCTAATTTGTAATTTTAAGAATTTGTAAGGAAAGCATTTTGAGTAGTAATGTTTATTTCGTTCTGTTTATTTTTATTAATGAGTTTTTTATATACTATTTCTTCCGTGTCATTCAAACAATTTTAACAAATACAATAATAAAAATGGTCTTATATATATTTGACAATAATCTTATACCATTTATTTATTATATATACACATATTCTTTTCATATTTATTGATTGATTTCTATTACTCATCATTTAAACATAAATTATGATAATAGTAAAAATAAGTGGTCCATTTGACAACGAAGTCTTTATAAAATAAGTGGTCCATTTGACAACGAAATCTTTATAAAATAAGTGATCCATTTGATAACGATGCCCAGTATAAAATATATGTATGGTGCGCGTATTTAAATTTTAAAATTTTATTAATTTTAACTAGGTTAAATGATTTAATTTTATGTTAATATTACTTTTATTTCAACAATTGGTATAACCTCCAGAGAGGTTTTAATAATTTAGTAATTCCCCTTTGCCCTAATAGAGGTTTAGAGCCTTATTAGGCAACTTTCCAAGAGATGGTGCCTCATGTGCTGTGAACAGTTTAATAGGAGTAGATAGGTTCACCTATCGCCCGGCCATTACTCATTCTAAGCTTATTGAACAGGAGTAGAGGTTTGTCTCTTGTTTCCTCTTTAGAATATGGTTTACCGGTTCTTTCTTCCATGGCTATAATGATTTATCCCTCTTAATTTTAGGTGATCTAACTGATCAGCCGCTGCGACTTTTCATTATGAGGATACCGAGTTGGCAGTTTCTTGGATGCTACTCCCGAGCGGTAGTAAGAAGACTCGAACTCATTGGTGGCGCTTAGAGAGGCTGCTCTGATCAACAGTCGCATATCTATTGGGGTATTTCTAGTGGCATGTCGTATATGGATAGGTGTCCCTGCATGTATTTCTGGTGGAAAACCCTGAGGGTACAATATGCTTTAGTCTTAGTCACTTTCCAGACCGTTTGTATTGCTATAGACAATAGTGATAATTCTTTTGACTTTTTCTCCTTAAAACATAATCTTTTTATGACAGGTACTATGAAAAGAAATGCGAATAAACCCATAAACATAAAGAACCTAACCTACTTCAACCTTTCTTTCTCTAATATTCGTAGTATCAATTTCTGTAATGTAGACCTTTTCTCTGGAAACGGTCTCACTTTG